AATAAGCTCTAAATCACTATCCAATAAAAGAAAATTATTGAGTTGGATATCTAAAGTTACTACCCAGAGGCTACTCTGGTACAGTATTTATAAATCTCTAAACAGTTAGGTATAATTGTCTTTCTGGGTTTTGGGAAGAAAGCCAAATAGCAGCTTTAGTTACAACTGAAGATAAATATTTTGTGTCGGGCCACATTCATCTGGTGGATAAAATAACAAGTAAATCCCCCACAAAGCAGGACTCTAAGTAAAAAAACAAGAAACGTGAAAAACTAAATGGCAATAGTCAATAGATGATACTTGAAGAAGAAAGGATGGAAATGTCAAGAAAATGAACAAAAGGAAAATTACTGGAGGTCTCCCAACTTAACAGCCAAGGCAGAACCCATCACATATCCAGTCCTCCTGGGTGCTTTGGAAAAATGTTATGACTGATGGGCACATGTTATGACTATGGATCTAATATTCTCTGGTCTGCTCTCCAAAATACTTCTTGATGAAATAATCTTAATTTCTGTTTGAGAGAACAGAATGAGAAACAGAAAGGACAATAAAAAACCTGGGGATGACTTTTTTCTCCAACACAAACACCTCTTTACATATCTTTCTAGGAAGACAGTCACGATCTGTAAGAGGTAATGAAGACAAACACAGGGCTTCCTTGTCAAAAATAAGATTGAGTTTATAAAAAAATTTTGTGAAGAGGTGGGCCAAGTTCTCACTTTACAGCATTTTGTACTTCAAAATCTGAGATACCTTAAGGAAACAATAGTTTGCTGCAGCTTCAGCAGGATACACTTTGGCCTTTCTGTCCTTGGAATCTAGGTTCTAGGTCTCCCAAAGGCAATGAACTGCCCAAATGATTTCCAAAAGCTCATTTTGAGGACATTAGAGTCTGCAGCCCTAACCTCTAGCAAGCCTACAGAGCTGCCCAGTCAGCTTTGAAGCGATCAATGCAGACAGCCCTGAGACACACTTTCAACATGAGAACTTCGAACAGCACAGGTTTAATTTGAAAGAACTTCTTGTTCTTTTTGAGTAGGAGTACACATTTTATGTAAAGGAGACCAAAAAATCCTTTCAGAACTGTTAGTAAGCTTTTCTTCCTAAGGAAAACAGGTTGCTTGCACACACAGTTCTGTGTAGCCATGCATTTGGTCATATGTTGCCAGACAGCTGATGATAAACATAGATTTGACAACTTAGATAGTTTACTGCTATCCCCTCTGGATATGCTAGGTCATTTGTAGCTCTGGTCCAGATTATTATTTTTTTCCAGTGTCTTGGAACTATGACTTGGATTTTTCTTCTGTGGAAGGTCAAGGCAGAGCACTGTGCTTGGATGAGATGCATTTCTGGCAGGATCAGTTACGACCCAAGACAGGCAAGCCAGAGCACAAAAATGTTGCTGCACTACTTATAGAAGGTCCAGATAATTACTGTTAATCAGTTCAAAAACCTGGGGATATTATAACACCATAAGGAAGTACTATCAAGTCTGTTTCTGTATGAAAATGATTGTGTGTGTTATAAGCTCATCTTGCACTAGTAATGAGAAAATCCTTTGTTGATGCAAACCAGATTAATTCCGAGCTGATTTTTCAGCAGTAAACTTAATCCATTTGGAATTGCTAGCCCTATTGTTACAGAAATTTCCCTTTCATGAAAGTATGCTGTCATGTGTCCACCCACCTGTTCCTTCTACAAGGTCCTTCCTCTCAGCTTGCTCCTGGGTTCCATTTCAAAGGTACATCCCTGGCTGGAAAGGGCACGTTTGGATGGATACAGAGATAGATTTTTATGTGCCTAGGACTGAGAGTGACTTTGGTGTTAAAGCAGGTGATGAGGATGAAACTCTAGGGAAAAGGGAATGAAATCCCAAAATGTTTGGATGCTCCTCCAGCTACCAACTTAAAGCAAAGGAGTTACAGATATAGCCCTACTTCAACACTTGCCGACGATGATGGCTTATCTGATGGTTAAATAAATTGGCATCCTGGTTTTATGGCACCCTTATTGTACTGGTGTCATCTTTTGCCTAAAACTGGAATGAAACAACCACATATACAAACTAGAAAGATCCTTATATATTCAATAACTTATCAATTAAACGACTGTATTTTTTTCAGAAATGTAAACATTAATTATATATCAGGGTTTTATGAGATTCCACTGCTTACTGACTACATAACTATACATATATAATATTATTTATTTACCCAGAATAGCAAGGGTAAGGTCATACTGCTAAGTCCCTCACCAAAAATCTTGCAGCTCACCCCATACATTTCCTAGACTGCTCACATATTTTATTTCTTCTCTTTTCAACACCCTGTCACAGGTCAACTGACCTTCTGCCACACCTCCGTATTTTGTAATGTCAGTGTTTCTGATGATCAATAACAGAAGTAACATAAAAGAATAACACAGAAGATCCAAGCATGATGTTGATGAGGATGTCTTAATTCAAAATCATGCATTCAGATTTAGAAAGACTCAGACTGGCAATACTGCAAGTTTGTACCAGCCAATGTGTTAAGTATGTCAAGCAATACACAAATGTAAAATGACATCTTGCTCTATAAATAAAGGTACTTAATTGCCAGTAAGAATCTGTGAGTTTTCTCTAATACGCTGCTTGTTGACCAGCAAAAGTTGAATCACCTAATTTATGTAATTGTCATGATAGTTGTGTCCACCATATGTTAAAGCTGCATTTCAGAGACAAAAATGTCACATTGCATATCATTTCCAGTAATGTTTGTGCTTTCTACTGATCTAACTGCTTCTGACAGTCTAAACGTTTTATTCAAGGTCTTTCATGAAAATTTATGGTATTGAAAGGAACAGAACCAATTCAGTTTTGGATTTCATAAACAGAGAATTTACTGTGAAGATAATAGTTTTCTGAAGCAAACGGGCTTGCAAGAACCTCTCCTTGTTTAGTGCTCCCAATTAAAATAGGCTGCTGGTTGCCTGCCTTATGCTATGCCCTGTTTCCCCAGAACAGCTATGGAAAGAGTCACCTTTTAATTTTTAACATGCAATCTGGTATTTACCTGAAGAAATGTCAAAAATTTCTAAGAATGTTCTCACCTATTGTTCCTCTGTTTCTCTGCATCAGCGACATTTAACAGGGCTAAAGGGATTTGGACTATGGCCAGTGTACACTTCCTGACCTACAGGGGCTATTGCTGTAGCAGCAACCTGGGTATTAGAGAGTCACAGAACAATTCAGCCTGGAAAGGACATTGGAGGGTGTCTGGTCTTATTTCCTGCTCTAAGCAGGGTCAACTATGAGGTCAGGTCAGCTTCTTTGAGCTTTATGCAGTCAGGTCTTGAATACCTCCAAGGATGGAGAGTAAAAAATGACAGGTGTTCATGTGGTGCACAAGAGTGGATATTGACAGGTTTCTCTATCCTCACTGAGGGATGGCGTGACCCTGTGTACTCCCAGAGGTAAAATACAACAGCCAAGTGCTGGAAATGTCTCTAACTTCTGAGCAAAGATAGAAAATTCTCTCAGACTGTTTGTGCTCAAGAAGAGATTCTTCATTATTTTAATTATGTGTGTGGTACAAGACTGAGAGAGATTCATCAAATAGCCATTAGCCTGGTAGTGGAAGTACAGATTTAGTTTTGAGATACAGAATTTCAGATCCCAGGGCTAAACCAGCAAAGCAAGGAACCTCTATGCCTGTCTTCCACTTCTGCAATGAGTTTCCTAATCATGACTACAAGCTGTTAGAGTGTGAGGAAAGAACTCTAAAATATTTGGGGCTGTGTTATTTCCAGACCACAGATTTGAAACTTTCAACACTCATGGGATTGAAAACAATCTGTTTCTTCCTTTTCTTCTCTAAATCTACTTCTTATCCAGAAAACTGTCCAATTTGACTTTGGAAAGTTCAAACTTTTAGCTTCCTGGTACAATTTAATTCCAGTATTAAATTCCACTATTTTATTGCTGATTCTAAGAAAGAATTTTCTATGTTCAAGTTTCTATATTCAAGAAGTTACAGTGCAACCTCTGATTTTTGGCATATAATTCCTACTTCCTGATTAGAGTGTAAAGAGGAAAATCTGAACTTAATCTTAGTTCTCACAGTCCTTGAGGGAAGACTATCTCTAGATCAGGCTCACAGGGAAACTGCAGACCAAAGCACAATCCTTTCCACCTATATTTACAGCAGAACTAGATCCAGAGGGAATATTTACTGCTGCAGTTAATAGGTTTATCAAAGGTAGGACTTCAGCTGCATAAGCTGCAAGACCCTTCAGGGATGGGAAGATGATTGTGTTTACACTGATGGTCTTTGCCAGGGTGCTTATGACTGCTTTGCAGCTGCTTTGCACAGGCACAGATGGTGTAAAATAGCCTTTGGCAACCCTTGAATCAGTCCCCTACTCTCAGAAAAGATTGAAAGATTTTGTTCAATGTTCTTAAATGGGATGAGTACATGTCAAACCATGGGAAGAAATCAGTTTTGAGTTAATTCTCTGTGGCTTCTTGAGCAAGAAGGTGCCAAAGCTGTAAAGAAAATTAAAAGTTCTTTTTTATTTTACTTTTTGGCTTGTGTTATTAAAACTTGTATTTTCTATGTAGTTTCAATGTATTTTACATAAGAAGAAATTTTGTTAGACAGAATTCAGGTATTCCAAAGAATAACTGCAAGTTATCACTGGTTATAGTACAGCTACTCACCCTGAAAAGGAAGCCGCAGTGAGAAAATGATGTTTTTACACATTATCTAGGAAAATTTTAAAATGAGAAAAAATGCCAGTTTCATGTTCATTCATTTTTCCTGTGAAAGATGTGCTCTGTGATGTAGCAGAGAAACTACGTGACTGTCCCTTTAAAAGCCATCATACCAATCAGCAGGTTTAACTGTCAAGCAAGCTGATGTAGGGCTCTTTGAATTACTGAGTGAGGGATATTCTTCCTGCCAGGTCCTGTCCCCTGTAGGCACTGCAGAGAAGTATTATAGGGCAGTCCTTACCTTGGGAATTAGCCTGCAAGACCCCAATGCTGTCATCAAACTGCATAGATTTGATGTTGAGTGACGCCAAGATGCATTCCTTGTCCTGCAGCGAAGCATCATCAATATTATTCTGATTGGCTGACAGGATAACGCACATGTCGCAGAGGTTGATGTTGACAGCCCTTAAATCAGCCCGACTTAATGGCGTACCCTTCGGCACAGGGAGAAAGAAAGGGGGGTGCAGAAGAGGAGAAAAAAGAAAAACAAATTAAAGATTGAGAAGGAGCTTTGGGAAATTATTTAACAAGTATCTTTTTTATGCTCTGACATTAAGCTGGTCTAACTATGTGCCAGGGAATAGGAGATGTGTGCTAATCTAAAGGGTAGTTGGTGCTGATGGCAGCATTTTAGGTTCAGTCTCAATACTCAGTCAAGCTATTACTAACAAACAAGAAACAGGAATAATGCCAGCATTCTACATCTCATCGGTGACTTGAAATTGTCTTGATTTAAGCTGCTATCATGTGGCAACCTCTGGCTCTCTGAATATAACAAGGGGGGTGTTTTAAATGTCTATTTATCTACTACCAAGTCACAATGGTCTTGGGCAAAAGAACAGCAATTTAAACAGGAAAGCATTACGTGTCCTGCACATTTGAAATGCAATCAGGACAAAGCTATTTTTTTCTACTTAAAGCAATACACAGAAAAGGTTAATCCTTTTCGAAGCACGCTTTTGGTGCTTCTAGAAGGAAAACACACTGAGCTTCAAAGCTGTGTGATTAAACCCTTTGAAACAGAAACAGGACTTTATCCTAATGGGCACAGCTTGTGCAACGTTCCCTGTTCCACAATCCTCAATCAGAGAACAGAATCATTAAAACAAAATGCTGTGGTAGCCTGTGGATTATTTTCATAGGTAACAAAGCTGAGATATGACACTTAACATGATATTTTTTGTTTAAAATTACACTTGCCTTTCACATTCAACAGCCTACAACTGCAGTTACAGAATATTAAGTCTACGTCACAGGTGCTGCGAGTTCCAGGAAATACACACCATTTTTTTAATGGAAACTAGATTGTGCTCTTCTGCCTCACATGGCTGGGTACCCAAAGACCCCGATGATGATGAGACATAACTGTCCCAGTGTCATGCAGTGACTTTCATAAAATCAAGTCAAGACCCTAGTCTTCCATCTCCTGATCATTCATTGCAAATATCTCCTGAACTCCACTGAGAGTACTCAATGCAAAAGTGAATTTAAAATGCACACAGTGAAGGAAGAGCTCAATTCTTATTCAGTGTTTGCCAGCTTAATTATTCCATGTAATTTTCAATAATTTGAGGCATGAAACCTTGTGAAAAACAGTATGTATCGAACAGATATGATTTCATTATAAACTGCTCCAAAGTTAGAATATGATTATTCCAGCCATCCTAATCCTGCCCTTTGTGCCTGTACTGTGCACCAAGTGAAGCAGGGTTCCTGTGGGGAAAAATAATATGCAATCATGTAATTAATTAAAGGCTCACTCCTAATGATTTTATGCAAAGGGACAGAATTAAGGCTGCCTGAGGATGTTTAAAATTGGCATCTGGCTACTTTTTAAGAGTTTACTCAGCAGCTTAAAGGCATCATTTAATACAGACCTTAAATTCCACTTTTGTTTTTTTAAAAAACAGAACAAATGTTTTCATATTCAGCTGTAACCACATCTACATCAGATATCAGCAGCAAGTTTTACCTCCTGAACCAAAGCACAGAGAATTATGAAAGTGGCCTCCCTTTAACAGGTTCCTACAAGTATAATCTCAGACACTTGAGTACATTTTAAAATTAGTATAATTAGATCAGAAAATTGCTGTTATTTTAACTTTATATCATCATTTTGAACGAGATAGGCTGGAAAAAAAAATGGAAGCAACAGCAACGAAGTCTGTGTGGTCTTCAGCACCCTTGATTACTATGTCAGATACAATTCCTTTATAAAATTCTGTATTTTTAAAGTTGCATCAACTAACCATTTAAGCTGTTTAAGTCAAAATTAATCTAAAGCTATTCTGCATTTTGGCGTAAACTGGGGAAAGTAAAGATCATGTTCATTTATTTTATGCCTCTTTACAATTCAGAATCAAAACTTTGCAAAACCACATTATAATAATGGATAAACATTACATACTGGCAACAGTGGCAGGATTCTATTCTGCTTGATAGTTCAACAGTATTATCAATTTAATTCTGATTCTCTAGTCTTTAGCCTTCACAGTGACTGGAATTAAAAGGAATTGGCAGAAAGAGGAGCATATTAACTGACCAAATCTGATATTGACACCATTTTTGTGACAGCAGAGAATCTTGTGACACCATCTGTTGGATCAGGTTACAGAAAAATGCCAAGGGCTAACACTAAAACTGCATTTACAGTAACAAAGACCTACAGTCTGAATTAATCAAAAAGCAAAGACAGTGCTTTCCTTCTATAGCTATTTTCCCAATTATTCACTTAAGGTTACTTAGGTCCATCATTGATTTATTTATTTTTAACTGCTGAAACAAAATTACTAAGAACAAGTAAACTTCTAATTTTTCATTCTCTTCTAAACTAACTTTGCTATATAACATGCTGAGCATTTTCTTTCACTTATACCATGGGCTCCCACGTGTCATTTATAGCTGTGGTCACCTAAGATCACCATCTTGGAGGGCTTAATTTGTTAGTCCTGGGGTTCTGGATTCTACATTTTGGTCATATGAGTGAATCATAATGATCTATAGGAGAAAAAGGACCTTGGCAGTTTTAGTGGCTGTGCCTACTAAGGTCAATAGGATCTTTTCATTGATTTCAAAAGGGTTAGGGTTTTGCTGTACTTTCATACAGGATTCCACTGAAATGCCAGGGCAGTGTTCCTTATAAAGCAGGCCAGTCCACAGGAAGTCTTTATGAATACATATAAATATTACGTAGACAGAGTAACAATAATTTTTTCAAAGGTTTTGTGGGTATAAAACCATAAATAATAACATAAATAACTACTGTCATTCTGTCAGGGAACTCACAACATCAGAACCAGCTCCATGCAGGGCACTACAGTGGATGTTCAATACATAACACAGCTAATACATCTGATAGCAGCTGAAATTCAGCCGATGAGGATGATGAGGAACCAAACACTGCAGCAAATATCTTCTAATAAGGTCTCACAGGGCTCTGTTTTCATAGACACAGTAAAGGAAAAATCTAAGTCCTCAGGCCTATAAGTAGACAAAAGTAAAAAAGCCTAAGATCAAAGTCAATACGAATCTGTCCAGCTGGTGTCCTAAATAACAAAGTATCAATAATATGGCTTTTGAACTTACAGGCAAGATTGAAACCTTGGGGAAGTTATGCAGTGTCTCCCATTCCCTTCTCAGGTATTCAAGTGAACCCACAAACACAATGTGCTTGAGTTCATGGTAGTGAAAGTTGCTGGCTCGTAATGGCATCACTAAATTTCTTAATCCAATCAAAGCAGATTTAACATCCCCAAATATGCAAACGACTACATGCCCACTTAAAACTGTCATCGCTGCTTCACTTCGAGTCTAAAAAAAAAAACAAACAAAACAAAACAAAAAGACAAGGGAAAAATGAAACAAAGGGAATCTCAAATCATATACTGAGTTTAAAACCAGGAAAAATACAACTGTCAATATTGTTCATGCACAAAGAAGCAGTTTGATAACAGCTATTCATTTTACCCTTATTTATATTTCATTAAATGTGCTCAGTAGGAAAAAAAAAAGTTCTAGTTTGCAAATCCTTCAGCATTTGCTAAGACATTGTACTGGACCAAATTCTGGTCCTGTGCAAGTTTCTATACATGTGGATTGTGATCTGGTTACAAAGTACTGTGGGTTAAGGTAAGGATTACAGAAAATAGATGCAAAATCACACCCTAGTTAACAAATTAGTAGATAGGTTTTTTTCAACACTAATGTGAAAAGGAAGATGTTGAGTGTCCAGTATTCCTAGTAGGGCTCTGTGATATTACTCAGATCTTGTGTGTTGAGGACCATAATCTCTCGGAGTCAAAGCTCTTATTTAAGGACAAGCTGCTGTTTCCCTGAGAAGCAATCCATGAATGCCCTACACTGCTCTGCTTTACAGTGGATCACCACTATATGCCACAGAGCTTCTCTCAGTAACAAAATAAAAGTGCAAGTTTGTGACTAGTACTGAATTTTCAGGCCAATTGGACTTACTGAGCAAAAGGTCTCATGGAGAATATTTAAACTGTGTCCAGAATTATCTTCTTGTCTCAGTGAAAGAATAAATTTTTGCACTAATTTCAGCATTGTTTAGTTCAGTTGAGCAGGCAACTCAAACACCAAGATGATTAAATAAAGCCACATGGAAAAAATTACCTTCATTTCTGGAGCCAGTCTTGGCATTGTAGTGCTCTGTCAAGTAGCTGGAGAACCACTGATACCATATTGCCAAGAAATTGTACACTCTCTACCATTAGGCAAAACACAGAAGTTTTGCCAATGAACAAAACTAAACCAGTGCTGATCTGCAAAATTTTCCTCTCACTTATCCACAGAATATGTCATTTTTCTAAATTACAGAAGCATGGTGGTGTGCAATTAAGGTTGGAATATGCAGCAGATATGCTCATTATGTCAAAAGAATGGGAACTCTGATTAGAACTTTTCTCATCAGTTGAAAAATGCATGAACTTTCAATTTCTCCAGAGCAATTACAGTGATTTTCATACAGCTTGAACAAGAGAGTCGTCTTGGCCCTCCAAACAGCAGAAGACATGAGTGAATCCTCAAGTGAGCATCATTCACATGCCTTGCCTATGAATCTGGAATACTTGGACTTTACAAGACAGAGACCAAGTCTTGAAAGCAGGTATGTAAAAAAGGTCACTCCATAAATCTGTATGTAGTAGCCACGTATGGCAAAAATCCCTTCTTACTACCTGATACTGCTGGAATGTCACAGAGCCAAAACAGACCTTGGGCAGAAAAATTAATTCTTTTCTGACTGGGACATCATCAAGTATCAATTAGAAGACAACCTGGGAAATCTCATCATCTTCAAATTATGCACTAATTTGTACTTGTGTGGTCTCTAAGGACAGCATTAAATTTGCATAGATATGAATGTAGACATAAATTGTGGACTGTGAATTTAAAAAGGTGTAGGGAAACATTTTGCTGGCAGGGTCTTTATTGGTGATGATGCGTGAAGCAGAAAGAACCGGGGCAGACTTGCAGATTCACAGGCTGGTAGTGGAAAAAACTAACATGGCCTAACCTAGAGATGAGGATTGAGTCACTCCCAAGCACCATTTGTGGGGGAACACTTTTCAAAGTAGGGCAACATGTAGTTTGTCAGTTAAAATGGGTTTGTACCACAAAGGAAGATTTTTATCTATATTACGAAGTGTTGTACAGCAGGGCTAACCCTTCTTGCTTGCTGATTACAAATAAATGATACTATTTAAAGCTGTTCAGGCAAACTCAATCTCAAAGCTCCATCTCCTAAATTTGGAATTTACTGGCTTGACTATTTAAACACTGATATTGCAATTCCAGGCATTGTCAGAGTTATTACAGAAACCCCTGAGGAGGACTGGAGACAAGCTTTTAACCCCTGATTGCTAGAATAACTGGGGCTGTCACCATCGCTGGCTACACCATGCCACAGTGAAGGAAAATCTAAGAGAGCAGGCTTGGGAAAAGCTTTATGAAGTGCGACAAAGTGAAGATCCACCAGGGAGTTCTTTTCAAGTATAATTAGTTTTGCGTGTGAGATATGGGGTTAGTTACTTGCTACTCTTAGGTATAAGTACATGAACACAAGTGGCATAAACTTTCAAAATAGACTGTGATAGGCCTCCTAATTATATTTAATGACTTGAGTCAGCTTGATGGTTTTCCCAGTTAAAGGAATGAAACAAACATAGACAGGGCTCACTGCAACATGCTAGAGTCAGAGTAGGAACATTACTTGCTCTGGCCTATTTGGGCATCTTGAAATATTGGGAATGGAGAGAGAAGTTCTAAGAGAGCAAAGTTAATAAAAAATCAATTACAATAATTAAAAAAACATCAATAAATAAGAGGTAAGTCAAAACAACACTTGCCTGTGTTAGAATCATTACTGCCTTGTGTAAAGAGAAAAATGGGGTATGTAAGCATTCAAGTATTTCTAATCTTAATTATCTATAAGGATTTAAACCAAATATGTAAAATTCAGTTTATGAAAAAAGAAATTCCCTATACTGTATGATCTTTATTGTTGCACTGGGCATAAAGATTTATGTAATCAAAATGCTTTAACCAAAATCCTAGATTTGATTTCATCACTCTTGCTCCCGATTTCAACACAGTGGATTTTGTGACAGTAGATGCTAACTTATTTATCTGTTAGACATTACTTCTATGGTTTAAATAACCTCTTTTCAAACCCAACTTATCATCAATACCTACCAAAATGACCTTTTCAATGTCTTTGGCTGGACACCAATGAAACATCCCTGTAGAGTCATATTTTTTCACGTTGGCATCCATATTGTCAATCTGCTCGTTGCCAGGAATTAACAAGGGGTCATGCCTGGGGAAAAACAAGTTGAGGACAGCATAAATGGAAAATACTATGAATTATGGATGGAAAGATATCCCAAGAGCTGTGTACAAAGAGAGACAAAAGTAAAAAAATAAAATGTATTTACACTTTAACATGCTTTCAATAAGGACATTTTTAAACAAAAGCAGCATACCAAAAAAAATATTAAACTTTAAATGTTGGGTGCAGTTTCAATGACTTTCTATCCTGTTCTATGCCAATAATCATTTAATTTTAAATAGGGTTTTCTGACACCATCACATCCGTCCAAGTTTTTTTCTTTCCAGTCCCACCCCTCTGAAATAAATATTGAAGTTCCTATAGGCATCTGCAATGAAGTAAAAGGGATAGGAACAGAGCCCCATGCTGACTGACTGGCATAAGTATGGAAAGCCAATTACTTGCTTTTACCACATACAACTTCTGACGTGATGCTCTTCACAGTAAAAGCTTTAACAGGCTGCACTTTAAATATTTTAGCAATTTGCCCAATCATATTTTGCTTTCCCAAACTGAAGCCCTTTAAAGATTCAACAGTATGTCATTTTAGAGCAGACTGACTAACAAATGCCCACATCTGGAATACATGATTTTAATACCAAACAACAATGTCCATTTTCTCTGACAACTCTACCTGTGATAACCTTCTAAGTGTTTCTGCTTCTCAAGGCTTCTCAAAGAAGAAGCAAATAAAAGATATTTTACGAACTTTCTCTCCAGCTATATAGCTATATCTAAGCACAGACACAGAGTTCTTTAATTTATATGCTAAAATCAAGCATTAAACTAAGTACTAAGTGATTTCAACACTCACATGCTGGTGAAGACCCCTAAGTGACTGCATTATGCAATAGCATTAGCAGAATTGTATTCACAAGGTACAAGGTAAACTGACCCTAAAATCTTATATTTAGCATGATTTAATAGTGCTTTCTCTGGAAAGCTACAGTCTTTACCTCAGGTTTTTGTCATGAATGCTTGAAATATCTTGATATAGAATCTAACATTTCAAAGAAGAAAATATTTGCAATGTAAGAATATGCTAAGTGCTCTGAGACAGGTATCCAAATTTTAAAGCAGTTTGCCCTTTGAAGCCTGTTAAAGAAATGCCCATATTGTATGAATTCTTAAAACAGGAAAGTTTCCTGCTTTTAAAGCATTTGAATAAGCAGGCTATGGTGAGATCCTCTCTTCTGCATGGACTGCTAAAGCAGACTGTGAACATAGTGTGTGATATAGGTTAATTTACCTTGAATATGGTATGCTACGTTACCATGCAATCAACAGTTGCATTCCTATGAAAAGTATAATCCTAAATCCAGTCAGGGTGATCAATTAGTGTGATCTCACAGCCACTGACTGCAGATCCATTGAAATCAGTGGAAAATTCTCATGCATTGACAGAGTCAACTCCAAAGAAAGTGCCTCAAAAAAAGTTGAGGAATTATTAATACAATGTTCCATTTAAACCAGAATCTTCTGATGCCTTAAGACAATCAATGTCCTACATGGCAAAGACATAAGTAAGACTCATCTGGAAAAAAGAAACACTATGTTTTCAAAGTTTTTTAACTCTCTCAGTAGAGATACAGTTCAGTGATTTCACTGTAACCCACTGGCACCAGGGAAGCCCTAGAGGACTACCTGGAGTTTCTGATCCTACTCCAAGCTGAATAATGACAGGCCTTGCCTAAGTGTGTTCCCTCTTTCATAGGAAGCAGAGATGAAAAAGCTGTATCAAAGGGGTTTGTAGCGGGGGCTTGGTTGTTGTTTTGTTGGCTTTTTTTTTAATTTCTAGAAAAAAAATACAAACTCTGCATTCTCTTCCATCCATCAGCAAGACACTGCCTTGGTAGTTTTGTCTGAAAGCTGACATGCCACTCACTGGGCATCCCCCATCTGCTCAGAGTTGCAGGTGGTACAGTAAGATCTGCAGCCATGAACACACTTCAGTTTGAAGGTTGTACTAATGCTCAGACTACATTTAGTGATGCTCTGCCCCAGCTATTTTTCTAATGGAGTGTGTTAGCTATATGTTTCAAAATAAGAAAGTTTACCAAAAGATTAAGAATCTTCAGGAGTTTCCACTGAGGAATGTTTTTCTTTCTATTGTTTCAGGGTTAGGGTTTTTTCTCCCAATACTTCAACACAACATTTCTTTACTTGTTTGTTTTAGAGGAGCTCTGAAAAGTTCACTTTACAAAAGCAAAGTTCATCAGTCAAATCACCTTCTTTTCCTTTCAGAAATCAAGCACATATAAGAAGGAATTTTCTTTTCCCCCTATCCTTCACCAGATGAACTATAATAAATCAGTTTTTGAACAATGCCATATTCTTGTTTTGTAATCAATGTTTCCTTTCTGCTCTGAGATTTAAAATTAAATAAATGATCTGAAGCTTTAACACAAATTACTATTTAGCAATACTCTAACCCCAGACACAAAAATGATTCACAGAAATGATACAAATTGAAAGGAATATTATAAGAAAGCAGGTGGTATCAGATATCTGACATCCAATTACGGTCAACTGCCTTGAGGTTTGAGGCAGTTTTAAGAGTGTGAGTGCTTAAAGCCTAGCATAGTTCTTTTGGGCTTTGCATACTGACAGGGAACACTCAAAGTAGCTTCTTCCAAAGGTTTATTAGAATATTTTAGGCTTAAACATAAGTTGGTTTTGGGGAAGAACAAAGCATTTGAAAAGCATTTGAATAATCAGATATAACCCCCTGTTGAAGTTTTAGGCAACAAATTGTCAAATGGTGATTTTTTTTTTTTTAAGCCCTTTCAATTTTTGGGGGTTTTTTGGTTGTGGGGTTTTTTTTGTTGTTGTTGTTTTGTTTTGGTTTTGTTTTTTTGGTGGGGGGAGGCTTTGGTTTGTTTTTGGGTTTTTTTTTTTTTGGTTGGCTTTTTTTTTATCAATACATGCATTTATTTGCAGTATCATAAACTCTTTAGACTCAGCTTTATTGCTTGGAGTATAGTAAGTGGGAACCTTAAAGGAGGCAAAAAGGATGGGGCACATAACATGAAAGCATGCTAGGAGATATTGTTCTACTACTTTTACTCCAGGATAATGGATTATTGCCTGAGAGGGACTCTGATATGACTAGCCACATTCTGTTTCACAATATGTGGGGTTATTCATGTAAGTGTGTTTATTAAAATTAAATCTCCTGGGGTAAGATATTATTTTAGTTTCTCTTTAATCAATGTTCTTTCACTCTCACTAAAGTGATCCCTGAAGCTGTCTCTGGACCTTGGAAACTCTTTGCTACTTAGGTCCAACTTTGTCCTCAGATTTTACCTTACATATTTAAAAACTGAATTGATCAGAAGAGTTATAAAACAGTATTACTACTTTGGACATACACACCCTCATTAATCTGATGATCCAAACTTGTTTTGCAAATACTAAAAATTAGTTAACATAGACACACAGAGAGGCCAAAGCTGTCAAATCTGCCTAAGGCATTTGGTCACCCTCTTCCCATCAAAATTTGTATTACACGAAGCATTACAGTTGTTGCCCTTACAGCCAAATCATGGACTGAATGTTTCTAGAGCCTCTCTTTGCCTCCTCATCCTTGAAGATGGCCTTGTCAAGCTGTGCTTGAGTCACATTGGCAAGTTACTGCAGAATGCTTATATTCACACTGCAGTCATTATCTTCTCCAGGCTGCAAAGTCCTCTGATTCAAGAATTCAAATCATAGGAAGAAAAGCACTTTCTGTCAATTAAACCCCTAGAACTTGTTTTAATTGAGATGTTGGTTTTTATGACTTGCAATGACCAAAGCAATTGGCCCTTCTGGCTAGGAAAAGACATGTATAGCCTGTATGGAAGGAAAGGAACAGGAGTTAAATTTCCTCATCCATAACCCCAGTTTAAAAATAGCATCTCTGGTTCTTATGATAGATATTACATACGCATGACTTAAAATGAAGAGCAAAATACCATCTTTTCAAGGTTTTGAAGAGCCTATAATGCCACTCATGTGCAATTAAACTTGAAAACGATGCTAAATGCCAAGCTACAGCTGCAAACCCAAAAAGCCTGCCTGGAAGACAACAGCCTAAAGCAAAACCATAAATCCCACTTACAGCAACCTACTGCAAGGAAGTCAACATTACATTTTAACGAGTACTGCTTCCCTAGCACACATTTATAACTGCTGCAAAATCTGAGTTTTTGAGTCTGAAACTTTTGGTTACTCACTGGGGATGGACAGAACTGAAAAGACCATTCAGGAGTAAAGGGCTTCCTCATTAAACAGCTATTGTTAAACATACCCTTGTATCATGTCAGCCTTGTCGTATGCCATTATACACATGCAATTGAGAACTAGAGCAACATACCCTCCCTGGTCTGCAGTGGAACTACTCCGTGTGCTGAGCACTGGGAACAAGCATGCTGTGTGACCAGCAGGGAGGACCCAGGGCTTGCCTGAAAATAAACTGTAATCTCTTAGTCTTTACACATTAGTAAGGCAATGTCTTCCCTAGTTTTTATTCTGTCCTCCAATAAAATTCAACGCAAACCACACCTGATAAAAACACTACTCCTCTTTAACCTGTGTCTGTTTGGGTCTGCAATTGTGCTTTTCTCAGGTAGACGTATCTGGATTTTATGTACAAAAAGATGTTCAGCAATCTCCTGCACAAGATTCAGGGTCTTTAGAGACACCCTGCCTGTGGCTGAGGAATTTTGAGTTTTCCTACCTGACTTAGGAGTTTGTGGTTATGTCTTAGCAAGTCTATGTACACAGATGCTTCATTTTAGGAGGAAGGAGTGCATTTGCTGAAGGTAAAGGAGGAATTGAAGACATGCTAAAGAACGTCTCATGCCTTCAAAATTTCTCCTACAACTACCCTAACAAATTGTGGCAATTAACATGCTGTTAGTGTTAGATGTGTGCAGCCAGTGCAGGTGCTAATAATTGAAAAAGCATTTAGAGCTTTTACACCCTGGCTGAATATTTCATGATGT